CTCTTCTTTATCCTCGGAAAAGGCGGTTCTGCCACACTTGGCCGTGTGCCATCTACACGGGGTACCCGCTTGGAACCAGAACGTACAGAACCCTCCGGGTCTCAGAGGCTGCCGGCTCTTTGGGACTGGAGGGCGGCTTTCCAGCCAGCAAGCTGGGCCTTGTCGCCACCGTTTACAATATGCAGGAGGGAAAAGCCCCCGGATGGCACCAGGGCACAGATTCCTGTGGACAGCTTTTGTTTAGTTTCTGCTTCCAGCCCTTTGGTTTGTTTGCTGTGTGTCCGGGCCGGGCCTGGTGTCCGGGCCGGGCTCCAGGCCGTGCGGTTAACGGCCCTGGCTGAGCCTACAGCTTTCCAGGGCCTGAGTCTCACTGCCCCTTTACTCTGTAATCCCAACGCCGTCATCCTGACTCAGGTCAATTCTGCTAATGAGGGCGGCCATGTGTCACAGAGCCAGGCTGCTCCTACCGCCCCTGGCCAAGTAGCCCGTGGTGAGACTCCCACACACAGAGCCATGGTGTCCTCGTCTCCAGGACGGGAGTGAATGACACCTCGCGTCACTAGGGCCGTGCTCAGAAACGCACTGATCATGGGAAGGGGCTGCAGCGGCCAGCGCACCTGAGGGGACACGCACCTTGCATCGTCCCTGTCACCCTCCCTCTGCATACGGAGGAGGCAGCTCATGACCCTGATTTGACATCTGACAGTGAGAAAACCAAAGAGCATGGACTTTCCTGTTCCTGCCCTGGCTCTGCTGCTTTCTAACCAGGAGCCCAGAACTTGGCTCATTTTTGTTAGAAACAGCAGAAGCCATCGGACGCGGGCCCGGGAGGTGAGGTGGGCACCAGGGGACCTCTGGGAGCACAATGGTGTTTTCAGCCACCAGAGGCCTGAATCCCTTCCCACAGCAGTGCACGGGCATCCCTCCCCACGGCAGCTGGGGATGCCGAGTTCACTGCCCTGCTCCAACGGTCAGTTCTTCTCGAGGCCCCTTGAAAGAGTGGAGGGGAGCAGGGAGCCGACGGAGCCCCCAGCTTCCCACCTGAGTGTGCAGTGCCCAAGCAGGGCCGCGGGGGCCTGGCAGGGAGCAGTTTCCTGCCCAGGGCCAACCTGACTGTACTGGGCTGGTCTTCCCAGGAAGTGGTGCCAAACTGTAGGAGCCACGAGGCTCTCTGTTGCTGGCACACTGGACACTCAGTGGGGTCTTAGCAAGGCCAGCCTTGGTGCCAGGGAGCCCATGATACTGAGCTGGGGAGCCACAACACCACCACCGCAGTGGCCCTTGTGTTCCTACACCCATTGCACAAACCCTCTCTGGCCAACAGCCCCAGACAGGCTACTCTGCTCACCCCGTGGTCTGGGGCTTTCTCTCTGGGGGGCATTAACACAGACACAAAGACACAGGCTTTTGCTCATCCTCTTCCACCTGACAGGACTGTGTGCCCTGTGAGCAGCTGTCGTGTGTGGAGGAGTGTCCTCCACAGCTTCCCGCAGGGCCTTCCCTGCATAGGACGAGACAGCCAGGGCCGCAGTGCAGGCAGCAAGGACGGGGTGTCCCCACGCTCCCCCAGGGGCCAGCTGCTGCAGGGCACTGTACGTGGCTGGGTGTGGACGGGGCGGTGCGATGGACGCTGTTTCCTGCATTTTACTTCACTTTCTGAACCTGCTCGGTGCTGTCCCTAAGGTGTCGTGTCCACCCCAGCCTGCAACTCACCCATCTCACGACAGCATTCCACGGGCTGCTTAGCTCACAGTCAGCATCTGTTCTGGGCTGCAGGTTTGGGTCCCCCCAGATTAATATGCCAAGGCCCTAATTCCCAATGTGATGGCCTCTGGGAGGGGATGAGGTCACCAGGGTGGGGCCCTCACGATGAGATCCTGTCTTTGTAAGAGAACTTGTTTCCTACCCCCACCATGGGAGGACATGGTGAGAAGCTGGCTGGCTGCAGGCCAGGAAGGGGCCGTTGCCATGACCCAGCCGTGCGGGCACCTGGATCTGACTTAGCCTCCAGCACAGGGAGAAATCAACATGGTGAGGCTGCCCAGTCTATGGTGGTTTGTTCTGCAGCCTGCGCTGAGAGAGTGGCCTCTGTGTGGATCCTGGCGCCCAATTTTGACTGGGCCTAGTACCACCCAAGCCCCATTTTTCAATGGGAGATAACAGAGCCTGGCTCTGCAGCTCTGTGGGCCGTGCTGCTACAGCAACGTCTCAGCACAGTCCCATCCGTGTCGTCATGAGGCCGGCAAGGCGCCTGTGCCACAGAAGTGGCTGAGCAGCTTGTCCTTCTCTTGGCCCCCTTCCAAACTGCCAGCCCCAGAGGCTCCCCAGAAATGAGCTGGAGCAGTCTTCCCATGTGTAGGGCATGCTGGGTCCAAAATCCAGAGGCCCCCCCAGTCACTGCCCCCCAGAATGGCAAGGAGCGTGGGTTATGGTTTGCCCTTTACCTCATAGGGTGTATCAGGGCGTGCACAGATGCTGAAACCCCAGAAGCTTCAGTGATGGCAGGCCTGCGATATCTCCCAGCCTCAGGCAGACACCTGCCTTCCTTGGTCACCCGGCTTCTCCCAGGTCCAGGCAGCATGAGATCATCGACACAGTAGTGACCTTGTCGCCTTACAGTCAAGCCAGGGTTCGGAGCACAGTGAGCAGGGCAGGAAATGCACTGCAGTCCTCGCCCAGTCAAGGCAAGCTGTCTTCGCTCCATGGATAGGTGTGCAGAAAAGTGCAGCTGCTGAATCGGCAGCTGTGCTGATCTGTTCCGGTAAAGATGCTATTTGTCACTGCGGCTGTGACTGGAGAGACCATCTGGTCATGCTGCAGGACCTCACCGCCGCCTTCCACCACAGCCTGGGGTCTGCAGTGCCCAGTTCCATGAATTACATGGGAATTGGTGGGCACTGGGATTTTGCCATCCTTTGAGCCTCTGACGGCAGCTCTGATCTCTGCAATTCCTCCAGGGAGGCAGGATGGATTTACCGATTGGGTAGGAATGGTGAGGGGTGTTCACAGCCTTCCAATGGATGGTTCCTAATTCAGCGGCTCTGACTTCACAGGTTACGAAACTAGGGATGGTTTCTGCCAGCTGCCAGCTCTGTCCATCCCAATTACACACCTGGTCCTTGTGAGACGGACATGGGCCGAACTCCACGTGCCACGTGGCTTTCATAAGACCCCTCTACAGCCCAAGAGGCTGCTCTGCTTCTCTGCGTGGTGGCAACTCGGAGCCTGGCCAGTTTCCGAGGTCGGCTCTTTCCCATGACCACTTCGGTCTTCCCAGCACATGGATGCAGGTCCCTGTGGGGAAGCATGGACATGGATGCAGGTCCCTGTGGGGAAGCGTGGACCATACATGCTTGCAGTCTACGTTTGGGGTCTTTCCTCAGGTGAGCCTGACTCCCGCTTCAGTCGATGAGCTCCGAGCCTGTGAGCTGACTCAGGTGTGGGACTTGGACCATGACCTGCGGTTTTCATTCATTGCTGAGCCATGTCTCTTGGTGCCTTCCTGTGTCCATTCAGGCTGCTGTGATGAAATACCAAGCCTGGCCACGCCTCACGGCAGGACAGGGGCCCCATCAGGAGGTGAGACCATGGTGCCAGCCAGGCTCCCTGCTGATCAAGTTACTGAGGGTCTGCCCAGCAGGTGGGGGCCCGGAAGCTGGCACAGATGCAGCCATTTGGCCCTGGGCTCCCACGTGTCCTGCTGTCACTGGGTTAATCCCTGTCCAGGAAGAGCCCAGGGCTCTGCAGAGGAGAGCGGAAATAAACAGATAGCAGCAACCCCAAAGGGATGCTGCTTCTCTCTTGTTCCATCCCCTAGGCCTAAGAGCTTGGCCTCACCTCTGACACTCATCAGGTGCTCAACAGAAGCTTGTTGCTTAGCGAATGCACTTGCCTCTACGCATGGCTTCCTTCGTTGGTGATACGCTTGTTTTCCTCATTCACTGTGAGCCTGTGAAAGCGGAATCCATGTTCCAGCATAGCAGGAGTTCTCTGCAGCCCACGTTCTCCGACCTCTTCCTCCCCCACAGCCCTCCTGTGCCTGCCTCTCTCAGGATCTCTGGAAGTCTCTCTTCTCTAGGAGGGCAGTGGGAGGTAAGAAGTCAGTTACACAAACCCCACTCTGTCCATGTCCCACACCATCAATCGTGTGGAAAGATTTCTGTCCCAGCAAGTTAACTTTACACATTGAATTCATCTGTCCATGTAAGATGTTGGCCCTGGTCTCGTAAAACAACCATAATAGGAACATTTTACAGGAAATTCATTCTACTCGTGACATAACTCAAAATGGAATGGCCAAGTACAGGCTGGGCATGACTGTGAAGTCAGAGCCACTGAATTAGGAACCATCAACTGGAAGGCTCCGAACCCTCCTCCCCATTTCTACCAAGTTAGTAAATCCATCCTGCCTTCCTGGAGGAATCGCAGAGATCAGAGCCGCCATCAGAGGCTCAAAGGGTGGTGAAATTCTGCCCACCAATTCCTGGCTCACACCAGGAATCTCAGCACTTTGGGAGGCTGAGACAAGAGGACTGCTTGAGGTCAGGAGTTTGAGACTAGCCTGGACAACATAATGAGACCCCATCTCTATAAAATGTTAAAAAGAAAAAAAGAGTTAGGTGTGGTGGTGTGCATCTGTAGTCCCAGCTACTCAGGAGACTGAGGTGGGAGAATCGCTTGAACCTGGGACGTTGAGACTGCAGTGATTGTGGGAGCCCAGGGGGTTATGGTGAGCCATGATCACGCCACGGGACTGCAGCCTGTGCAACAGAGGGAGACTTTGTCTCTTAAAACAAACAAAGAACAAGTACATGAGTTGCTTGAAAGATTCCCAGTTCCTACTTCCAATTCAGAGTGCCATCCTCCACGCAACCGGGTGCACTGCTGGGATTTAGAAGCAGCAAGTGGTGATGCAGCTAGGAATGTGCAGGCCAATCCCCCCAGCCCCCGAGTGTGATGCCCCTTTCCATCTGACACATAAAAGACGCAACTCGTCCTACTGCATTTTAAAATAAAAATACTTTATTTATGAAGTCAGACAGCAGCTAACAGTTGGAGAAGCTTGGGAAGAAATCACTTTCACATGGGGGATATATGCAACCTAGAAAATATTTGGCTAAGTCATAAAATTAACATTTTTAGTCATCTGTAAAGTGCTGAGACATTTATTTCTGGTGACTGCCTGGGTTACGATTTTTTTCTTGTTATCCGTCCAGTAAGTGAAACATTGAAATACACGTTGAGCAGGATGGAGTTCACCAAGTATGCACCTTGACAGGATGGTGTGCACTCATTATGCACCTTGTCACGCGGGGTTGGCTCTGCAACTGCGGAATAGAAACTGATGTGTTCTGCAGAGGAGGCGTCTGCACAACAGACAGGCTGGCCCGAGGTCACGCTTCTTGGCCTGGGTCCCGCTCAGCGACAGCAGCCAGCATGGCCTAGCACCAGGAGTCATTCGGAGTGTGCGTGCTAAAGCAGACACAGCGTTCCAGGTCAAAGGGGCAAGAAGCCGCACCAAGGAACTAAGCAAGACTGCTCTGCCTATCTCCTCTAACACTAAAGCACACACGTTTCTCATGTGGATAGTCACTCTATTGATACGAGAAGGGAGGAATAATTTGGTGCTGATGCTTGAGTCCAAATGTTGAGCATTTTGGTTCAAAGCACACATTATTTGTGAAATGCTACAGATAATATATTGACTGAAACATTAACTGTTAATTTTTTTAATAGAAAAATGCAATATAAAAATATTACTTTGTTAAAATATACAGTACACATATTATACCACTTTAGAAAACCCAGCTCACTTCTGAAAGCAAATCATGCTAACTGGACTGGTAGGTGTTACCTGGCTTTTAAAGTTGTTAACAAATTTTATTCTGAAATTCAAAAATAGAGAATATAAATAAAAGTCGTGAATCTGAATCAGGTAAAATTATTTTAAGAATTGTTAATAGATGCCTGCACTACTGAATACACATATTTTCTCATAAATTCTTAGTCTGCGAATTCTGTAATATGATACGACAGGTCTGGCACTGATGAAGTTTAACATTTAGTATTTATATATGGACTACAGCAGTCAAAAAGAATGTGGTATTTTCCCAGAACTGCACTCAATTACTCGAAAATTGCATCAATCTTCTGCCTTCATTAGAAGTGCTTGTAATTACTTCTGCTGTACGGAAGAGAAGGAAGGAATTGGCAGGAATGCCACCATGACGATATTGCACGTTTCTCCCCCAAATACTGTTTTTAATTTATTCCCAACCAGTGTAGACACAGCTTAATCACTCAGGCTGTAGGATTAGCTGAGAAGTCACCCTTGATTGCAAATTCTGACAGCAGGAGGCGGCCGTCCTGCTTATATATTCAGCAGAGGGATCTGCCAGACCATGACGGACGGCGCCAGCTCCTCCTGGTGGGGCTGCCGGGCCTTCCTGTGCACCCGCCGGTGGCCCTGCCCTCCACAGACCACCAGCGCCGAGCTGGCCTTGGCTTTCTTGGCCCGGCGTGCTTTGCTTCTCAGCGAGACAGGATCCTTCAGGAGGTCATAGATGGTGCTGTCCTCTGACCTGTGCTCTAGAGAGCTAGAGCCGTGAGACAAGCTCAGGGACCCGGACGAGGAGGACACGTCGCTTTTCTGAGTCATCGACCCCAGCGAATCTCCCAACCAGATGGCTGTGTCAGCGTCACCCTGGCTCAGGGACGAACCGGTTCCTTCACTCGGAAGTGCATCCTTCTGGTCTTCGTCCTGGGGCTCGGGGCCGGGAGCCAGGCCGTCCCCGGATTTGTCCTTGTCTTTCTCATGCAGAGCCGTGGCCAGGATGATGAATTTGACAGGACCGTTGTGTGCATGGTAGGAGACCATGCCTCTTCCTGAAAAGGGAAACAGTTCAACAGCTTTTAAAATAGGCAAAATGTGAGAGAAGGAAGCAAAAAGTGCCTGGCTTAACCCCAATGCACTTCTCCCTGCCCAGATAACGAAACCTGTCACTTGCATACTTGAATCATAGGCTACAATGGAAATATCTGGATTATATTCTTCTGGGGTTTTAGTTAATGTGAAGAAGGCTTTAAAAATGATTTTCTAAAATAGAAAGTTGTGTTTTCCTCAGCAGTATTTCAGTTCTAATACTCATACTGTACTTTCAAAGTAATAAAATAGTCATTTTTCCATTCTGCATAAAATACCTTCTAACTTACCCTATGGAAATATCCCAAATTTTCCTAAGTCTTGATTAGAAATATTAACGCCTGAAATGTGTTGGTTTGGGAATGAAATAACTAAATTGCCGGCTGGCTGCCATTTTTCATTACAAAAACGTTCTGGGGTTCAGAACAATTTAACTCTATAGTTTGATTAAAGTTAGGACTTTCAGTTTTCAGGTGATGTGATTCAAATTTTAAAGTCATCATCGTGTCAGAAACACCTGTAGGTCTTCCTCATGGCACACAGTCCTGCACCCCCACACTGATTCTGTAAGCACCACGTGGGCCTGGCGTGTCTTCTGGGTGCTTCGTGGGTGACATGACATATGGACAGGGGCACGTGTCCTTTCCCCCAGTGCTTTCAGTATGAAACAGGCCCCAGCCCTCACCATCATCCTACTCTGGCCAAGGCAGATGACATCACTGAATCTTCCACCATGGTGAGAGTCCATTTCCCAAAGAGCAGAGTGGCAAAGTGAAGTCTGCAGGGAGCGGGAGCTGAGGGGACTGGGCAGGGACAGGGCCGCTCATCAGCTGGTGAAGTGCGCACCTGGGTTCCCTGCACGCCAGCAGTGATGCTGCCCCAGGCATGCCCCCAGGAGGAGCTTCTGCAGAGCCAGCCACACAAATATTCAGAAGCTTGATGTGTAATGCAAATGGGTAGCACCTAGCTACCCACCCAGAGAAACACAGTGAGTGCACCTCCTTTCAGGAAACACCCAGCTGCCCACCCAGAGAAACCCGTATAGTGAGGGCGCCTCCTTTCAGGATGCACCTGGCTGCCCATCCAGAGAAACACGGTGACAGTGCACCTCCTTTCAGGATGCACCTGGCTATCCATTCGGAGGAACACAATGAGTGCACCTCCTTTCAGAGGCAGGCTGCAGGCAGGGAGAGGAAAGCGCTGCAGCTGCGGCACCCGCAGGGACCGACCCCAGCAATGCCGAGAGAAGAAGCAACAGAGGCTGCGCGCACCATGGGACAGCTACAGAAAAGTGCAAAAACAGGAGAGGTGAAAAGAACCCTTTAAGACAGACACTGGTACAACTACAGAGGAGAACCAAAGGAATAACTGATGTAAAACCGAGCAGCGTCGTTTCCTAGGGTGTGAGCGGAGACAGCTGAGGCTGAGAAGGGGCAGCTGAGGCTCAGTGTGTGAGTCACGGCCCCTTCTGAGCTGGGCACAGGCATGTGGCCTCTTCTCATTACCATGTAAACTGTGAAACTGTGTATGATGCACAATTCTATGTATTTACAGGCTGAGTGTCCCTTATCTGAAATTCTTGGGACCACAAGTGTTTTGGATTTTTTTTTTTAATGTTGGAATATTTGCATTGCACTTGATGGTTCAGCATCCCCAAATCTGAAATCCAAAATCTGAATTCCTCCAATGAGCACTGCCTTTCAGCATCACATCCACACAGAATTTGGAGCATCTGAGGCCAAGGCAGGTGAATCACTTGAGGTCGGGAGTTCGAGACCAGCCTGGCCAACATGATGAAACCCCATCTCTACTAAAAATAAAAAAATTAGCCGGGCGTGGTGGCAAGTGCCTGTAATCCAGCTAATAGGGAGGCTGAGGCAGGAGAATCGCTTGAACCCAGTAGGCAGAGGTTGCACTGAGCTGAGATCGTGCCACTGGACTCCGTCCCAGGTGACAGAGTAAGACTCTGTCTCAAAAAGAAAAAAAAAAAAAGAATTTAGAGCATTTTGCATTTTGTTTTTGGATTTGGGGTTCGCAACACATATAATCACATAGATCATAATAAAAACATAAATTAGGAAATGAATGGCAAAACCAGAATTCCTTAATCCTCACGGGTGGACCGCCACAATCTGAGCGCATGGAAGCCACCGCCAGGTCGGCCCGGGAGGAAATCCCAGAAATGGAGCCCACAGGAACAGTTCTGCCCTAAGAGCTTCCTGCAGAGCGTTTTCTCTGTTAGTATATCCCGCTGGGTGACATCATAACCCACATAGAATCTCAGGCCATGGTTTACTGAACTTACAGGACGAGGAGTTTTCTGCGTTACTGCAGGCTCTGCCCACACCACCTCTGCTGGCTGCGTTCTACCCGTTACCGGCAATGCCACCATTTTATTAAACGGCCCAATCCCTCATTACGAACTGCAGGTCACCTATTTTGTGCTGTTAAAAATTAAGTGCTGTGGCAAATGTCTTTTTTCATCATACTTTGTTCCTACATTAGGCTGTTTCCTCGGCCAGTTCCCTGGATTTGGAATCCTGATTCCAGACACACGAGCATATTTTAAGGCCTCCAATCCCTAACAGGACTGATATTTCCAGAAAGGCCGTGTGCTCCAGCCTGAGCTCCTAATGACATGGCAACAGCACAACGGAGCCTTTTTGGATCCCGGCTTCCTTCTTCACAATATAAAATACAGACAGGACCGAGGGAGATCCCGGCTTCCTTCTTTACAGTATAAAATACAGAAAGGACTGACGGAGATCCCAGCTTCCTTCTTCACAATATAAAATACAGAAAGGAACAACAGAGATCCCGGCTTCCTTCTTCACAATATAAAATACAGAAAGGAATGACAGAAACTAATTCTGGCATTAAACAGAATAGGAAAACATAAGATTCTCCTTGGACTACTAACGTAAGAAACAGAAAACATATAAATTGGTAATTCCAATTAAACAGACAGTCTACTAAGTCATTATAATACCACGAAAACATACAGATAATCTGAATTGTGTAACAACCCCAGGATGTTAAATCACACTACGCACTGCTATGCTCTATGAGTCTGCAAAACAGGATGCAGCCACTCAGACTGCAGCTGCCACTCACCGGTCACTTTGGGAATCCCTTGCAGACGTGGGACTGGCAGGGCCACGAGGACTCCCAGGCTGGTGCCGACCATCAGCAATCCGTGGCAGACGAGCAGGCTCGTCACCGACAGCCGCTGGTGCCCTGGGCGGAAAGACATACGAGTGGTTTCGGGTCTGGTTTGTGCAGCAGTTGGTGGGGTGGTGAGGGAGTGGTGAGGGAGCTGGAAACCCCACAGGTCTGTCATGCCACCACCAAACCCCTCAGGGGCAGGATGTGGCACAGGAGTTCCCAAACCCGAGCCCCAGGCTCCTCAACCACACGAGCAAGACAAGGGTCTTGGGGGCATGCCCTGTGTCTGCACCTGGACAGAACAGGCCCGATGTCTGGCCGGGTCTCCTGGGCTGTCGTCTGCATGGCTCTGCTCGGCCCCTTCAGCCCTGAATCAAGCCCCTGGATGAATCTGTCTAAACCTTTTGCTTCCTGGCCGTGTAGCATGTGAGCTCGTGAGCCCCCGACACACACAGCGGCCTGCGGTTCTTTGGGAGCACAGAGGCCCCTTTACAAGTGAGGAGAGGTCTCAGCGTGCGCGGCTAGACTCGAGTAACGGGCCCTCAGCCGCAGCTGGACCCTAGAGGGAACTGAAAGGCCTCTTCAGGGCTCTGCGTGAAGAACAACATCGTCACATGGCCTCGGCGCTGGACACAGCAGGGAAACGCCACAGTGGACGGCAGGGTCAGAAGGGCCTTTGAGGCTCTTTGTTAGTTTGGTTTTGATTTGCTTTACAGCCAAGGATCTGAAGCCCAGAGAAACTAAACAGTTTGCTCTGGCCGTGACAAGGCTAGAAAGTGGCTGCCAAACAATGTGGGAGACGCATGGCCTATTCCAAGACCCCGCCTCATGGCAGTTACAGGAAGACCCCACCTCACGGTGGTGACAGGGAAGACCCCACCTCATGGAGGTTATAGAGAAGACCCCGCCTCATGGCAGTTACAGGAAGACCCCACCTCACGGTGGTGACAGGGAAGACCCCACCTCATGGAGGTTATAGAGAAGACTCCGCCTCACGGCGGTGACAGGAAAACCCCGGGCCACAGTGGTGACAGGGAAGACCCCGCCTCATGGAGGTTACAGAGAAGACCCCGCCTCATGGAGGTTACAGAGAAGACCCGCCGACGGCAGTGACAGGAAAACCCCACCTCACGGCGGTGACAGGGAAGACCCCACCTCACAGTGGTGACAGGGAAGACCCCACCTCATGGAGGTTACAGGAAGACCTCACCTCATGGAGGTTACAGAGAAGACCCCACCTCATGGAGGTTATAGAGAAGACCCCGCCTCACGGCGGTGACAGGGAAGACCCCGCCTCACGGTGGTGACAGGGAAGACCCCGCCTCACGGCGGTGACAGGGAAGACCCCACCTCACGGCGGTGACAGGGAAGACCCCACCTCATGGAGGTTACAGGGAAGACCCCGCCTCACGGCGGTGACAGGAAAACCTCGCCTCACGGTGGTGACAGGGAACACCCCGCCTCACGGCGGTTACAGAGAAGACCCTGCCTCACAGCGGTTATAGGGTGGGAGATGCATGGCCTGTTCCAAGACCCCACCTCATGGCAGTTACAGGGTGGGAGACGCATGGCCTGCTCCAAAGACCCTGCCTCACAGCGGTTACAGGAAGACCCCACCTCACTGCAGTGACAGGGAAGACCCCGCCTCACAGCGGTCACAGGAAGACCCCACCTCACGGCAGTTACAGGGAAGACCCGGCCTCACGGAGGTTACAGGAAGACCCCGCCTCACGGCTGTTACACGGAAGACCCCGCCTCACGGCGGTTACAGGATGACCCCGTCTCACGGCAGTTACAGGGAAGACCCCACCTCATGGCGGTTATAGGGTGGGAGATGCATGGCCTGTTCCAAAGACCCTGCCTCACAGCAGCTACAGGAAGACCCCGCCTCATGGCGGTGACAGGGAAGACCCCGCCTCACTGCAGTGACAGGGAAGACCCCGCCTCACAGTGGTTACAGGAAGATCCCACCTCACAGCAGTTACAGAGAAGACCCCATCTCACAGCAGTTACAGGAAGACCCCACCTCACGGCGGTTACAGGGAACACCCTGCCTCCTGGTGGTTACAGGGTGGGTCTGGACTTTCACGTCGCTCCCTGCAACTCTGACACAATCATCAGCATCGCGGCCTTCCAACACAGACAAGATAACCCCAGTGTTTCTCTACTTAGCCCCAAAGCTGAGGAGCACAGAAGGCCAATTTAGCTTGTTCCTGAGAAGTGACGGTGAACACTTAAAAACAGTTTGATTCTTCTTTTCTGTAGACATAGAAGCTCTTTTAAATATCCCTGCATTTGACCCAAAGTTCATCTCAGATAAAGAACATGAAAAACAATCTGACCCCAGAGCCAAAGACTCCGAATTGAGGTCAAACAGCCTCCCCCAAAACAGAAACAAAAAACAAAAAACACGGGATCTGTATCGACAGGTGTCAAACAGCCTCCTCAGAAAACAAAAAACCCTCACTACAGACAAAGACAGACATTTGGTTCTATTTCTAAACACTGATTGATATTATTTTTAAAAGCTCCCTAATATGCACGTCCCAGGAATTCTGAGTGTCTGCCTGGCTGCGTGATGTGGTCAGGGTGATAGTGAATCCACAGTCCTGTACGTAAGCCGGGGCTGTTATTTTCTAAAGCTGATGAAAAACACGGCAGCCGCTTCGAAGCTGATGCGCAGGATTCCCAGCTGCTCCCAAGCGCGATCGCTCTACAACACGGGGCGCAGCCGCAGAGGGAGTGTGGATGCTCTTCCTAGAGCAGCAGTTTGACTCAACGGTAAGTATTTTCAGTGTGAAACATGACTGTCTGATGAGAGAGAAAACCAGTGTGCACACGAGTTCAGCACACAACCTGAACTCGGCCTTCCCAGCGCTCCGTGTGGCACTGGGATGGGAAGCAGCCCTGGGGCAGGAGCAGGGATGTGAGATGCTGGGAAGGGGAGAAGCCCCACCTGCGCGCCGGGAAAGGCTGCAGCCGCGTGACTGAAATGCTGGCCCGGCTTCTGGAAGGGCTCCTGTGATGCTGGCCAAAGCTTGCATGTAATAAAAAGGGCAGGCCGGGCGCAGCGGCTCATGCCTGTAATCCCAGCACTCTGAGAGGCCGAGGCGGTTGGATCCCCTGAGATCAGGAGTTCGAGATCAGCCTGGCCAACATAGTGAAACCCTGTCCCTACTAAAAATACAAAAATAAATGAATAAATAAATAAATAAAATAAATTAGCTGGGTGTGGTGGGCGCCTGTAATCCCAACTACTCGGGAGGCTGAGGCAGGAGAATCACTTGAACCCGGGAGACGGAGGTTGCAGTGAGCTGAGATCGCACCATCACTCCAGCCTGGGCAAAAAGAGCAAAACTTAGTTTCAAATAAATAAAAATAAAATAAAAAATAAAAATAAATAAAAAAGGTAAAAGCAGGTAAAAACCAGACATGAATGTTTTTAACTGGTTTCAAAGTACCCAGGAACTACCTAAGAGAGTTAAGTTCCAGAGAGTGGTTTTCCATTGCATTTTCCAAGCAGTCTGCCAATCAACATCTTTAATTCTACATAAGAAAGTTGACTGCCACAGTCACGAGATCATGCGGTCATTTTCCGATTCCAGAGACTGTGGTGAGTGCCGCTATCCAGGCGTCCCGTGCCCGTCCAGAAGCACCAACACTGACCTAGAACAGGACAGCAGGGTGTGTTCCAGACAGGGCTGGGTCCTGGGAGCTGGAGCCCACGTGAGGTCTGCTGGTGAGGTGGCAGGCGGGGCAGCTGAGGTGGTGAACGGTGACGCAGCTGCACAGTGAGGTTGGTCAATGCGTTACAAGCACGAAGTGGGACTGACTGCACGTGAGCCGCTGCTGGATGGCCACTCCGTTGGGAGCCACCAGGGCCTTCCATAGGCAGCCACAGAGAGACGCATTTCCTGCCCTGGAGGCTGGGAGGGGCTGGGGGTATAAACGACACCATCCAAGTTCATTCAAATAACCTCAGACAGAACAGTGACTGGAAGAAGCAAATACGTCCCCCAAGTGTCGGAGGAAATGCTACCAGGGGGATTCACCCTCTGCTCTTCCCAGTCTGGAATATAAACCGAAGGACAGGCCAGGGCCACACAGGCTGCCGAGAGAGGCTGTGGCTCCCAAGTCCTCGGTCTCGTTCCTTAACTCACCATCTTGAGTCCGGTTTCATTGGTGTAGTCCATGGTCTTTAGAAAAGTTACACTGGTTTTTTTTGTTGTTGTTGTTTTTTAATGGAAATTTTGGCCATTTTATTTGTTCACATGGTTCCTGGAGGCTCTGTATTCACTCAGTGGAGGCTCAGAAAGGTGCAATTTACCACGGGGTCTCAGCACTTTTCCATAAAAAATATCCTCCTTTGAACATGCGGGACAGAGCAGGAAACATCTGCCCGGTGATGTAACCTACTGCAACTGCTCACAACCTAAAAGCTGAGGCGCCGTGAACCCACTTGCCGTGAACTCTGCTCCTTTTTAACTTAGAACGGTCATGACTGCTCTAACGAACGTGCATGTTAATCACAGGCCTTCATCAACCGTTAGTCTGTGTCGAACCTGATGTAGCTTATGTGAAAGAACGCCAGCTAAATGGTTTTCAGAACTGAATTCCAAATAGAAGGAGTAAAGCCAGGTCCTTAGCTACAGATTCACGGAGTCCCCAGGGGCCAGTAGGCTGAGACCCCGAGGAAGGAAGGAGGTTTCATCACGCTGTGTGAACTTATACAAAAGGCAGGAGTTATAGTACAGTTTGCTTATTTCAAATTTTGTTGTTTTTCGCTTGGCAAGTCTTCATGTGCAGAAGCTACCTGACTTTTATATTCCAGCAATAGCACAAAAAGATAATTTTATGTCGTATTGACACACACACACACACACAAAAACCCATTTGAGCATCATCATGAATACAACTCGAGAATGAAGGTTTTGTGTGTGTGTGAACAGAGCACAGCGGACATTTGTGGGCCTCCAGGAACCATGTTGGATGATGAGGAGAAGAAGGACCCAGGAGTGGTGACGGCCCGGCGACCTCAGCGTCCGTGCGCTTCAGCACCGTATGAATGTGCCCCGACCGGAATGTCTAAACACAGCATGGAATGCCATAGTGCTTATTTCTATGAAATATATGAAATACTGGCTGAAAGGCAAAGACGACTGGGCAGAGGAGACAAGAGGAAAGGGCTCTCTGGAGGAAAGGACTCTCTGGCCTACTCATTCCGTCTAAGTCACAAAATGCAACGAAAATCAGAATCATTTCAGTCTATGCCGCACCGAGGATCTTACAGAGAATCACTGTTGGAAGTATCACAAACAAAGCTGAACTTCTGGTGTCACCGAGGTCGGCTCTAACCTGTGTACCCTTCTCCTACTGATGAGGCCACGGCGGCCGCAGGCCACAGCCTTGGAGCAGAGAACTGAATGTGGGTAAAGCAGTCAGTGCTCCCCAGAAATCAGTGAGGCTGGAGCTATTTCAAACTTAGTACCGAAATGCTGGAGAAACCTGCCAACTACGGGCACGGCACTCCATCTGAACAGCCGCATGTGTTTGCTTTCACGCGGGTCTAAAATGGAGACCTGACTCTGTGTGCAGGAATAAGTAAAGACCCATGATTCAGGGGCCCCGGGAGCAGAGGGCTGAGAGCACACACTGTGGCCGTGCAGAGTCAGCCCAGGATGTTAGAGGGGCCTGGGAGGGTGGGCGCCAGGGGACGGTGGCTCTGCAGAGCCCCACACATCTGCTGGCACCAAGTGGGAGGCTTGTGGTGGGCTTGGGATGGATCCATCATCAGCCGACTGGAAACTATGAGCTGAAGGGTGAAAAGTACCAAGGAAGGGAGACTCAGCGCCCAGCCACAACTTCATCATCCAGAACACTCAACACAGGCAGCTGCGATTTAGCCAGAATCTGCGACCTGAGCAGCCGGCAAGGGCTCTGCATTCTGTTTCTGGACCGGTGCGGGACTGTGTTGGGTGCTCTATGCTTGGAGGGAAGCAGGATAATTCTGTCTTTCTCTTCTACAGGAGAGGTGAAAGACAGTATCTAAAACAAAACATTAAGAACCTGCCATACAGGAGTGGCTTTCAAACAGCAGCAGCAGGGAGGCGGGCGGGAGAGGCAGCTGACTGCAGGGTGGGGTTTGGGGATGGGGGGGGCGGGGATGGGCGCTGACAGTGGGTGGGGTGCTGGGATGAGGGGGTGGGCGCTGACTGCAGGAGGGGCCTGGGGGAGGGTGGGCGCCAGGGGACGTGAGCTCTGCAGAGCCTCTACACATCTGCTGGCACCAAGTGGGAGGCTTGTGGTGGGCTTGGGATGGATCCATCATCAGCCACTGGAAACCAAGTGAGCTGAAGGGTGAAAAGTACCAAGGAAGGAGACTCAGCGCCCAGCCACAATCTCATCATCCAGAACACTCAACACAGGCAGCTGCTATTTAGGGCCAGAATCTGCGACCTGAGCAGCCGGCAAGGGCTCTGCATTCTGTTTCCTGGACCGGTGCGGACTGTGTTGGGTGCTCTATGCTTGGAGGGAAGTTATGGATAATTCTACCTTTCTTCTACAGGAGAGGTGAAAGACAGTATCAAACAAAACATTAAGAACCTGCCATACAGGAGTGGTTTCTCAGCAGCAGCAGCAGGGAGGCGGGATGGGAGAGGCAGCTTGACTGTGCAGGGTGGGGTTTGGGGATGGGGGCGGGATGGGCGCTGACAGGGTGGGGTGCTGGGATGAGGGGGTGGGCGCTGACTGCAGGGTGGGGTTTGGGGATGGGGGCGTGGGATGGGCGCTGACAGTGGGTGGGGTGCTGGGATGAGGGGGTGGGCGCTGACTGCAGGGTGGGGTTGGGGATGGGGTGGGCGGGATGGGGCGCTGACAGTGGGTGGGGTGCTGGGATGAGGGGGTGGGCGCTGACTGGGCGGGTGGGGGTGGGGATGGGGGCGGGGTGAGCCCTGGCTATGGGGTGGGGGGGGATGGGGGTGGGCGCTGGACTGCAGGGTGAGGGGTGGGGGCGGTGCTGACAGTGGGTAGGGTGGGGATGGGGCTGGGGTGAGCCCTGGACTATGGATGGGGTATGGGATGGGGGTGGAAAGACAGTGGCTGGGTGTGGGGATGGGGCGGGGGTGAGCCCTGACTATGGGGTGGGGGGTGGGGGGGGGGGATGAGGTGGGTGCTGGACAGTGGGTGGTGGGATGGGGGTGGGTGCTGACTATGGGGTGGGGGGTGGGGGCGCGGCAGGTGCTGACAGTGGTGGGTGGGGATGGGGGTTGGGGAGCCCTGACTATGGGGTTGGGGGTGGGGATGGGGGTGGGTGCTGATCATGGGGTGGGGTGTGGCTATGAAGGGGCAGGTGCTGATGGGTGGGGCAGGTGGGGGCTGGAAGGACAGGGGGCGGGTGCTGACAGTGGGTGGGTGCTGGGACAGGGGCGAGGCTGTAGGTCCCCAGAGCGCAGCCTTTCCTATCCTGCTTTGCTTTTCATAGCCTGGGCGTGAGTGCTATTGGCTTTTACTAAATCGTGTGCAAGGGTTATTTTATTAAAAAATCAAATTCAAAATACAGACTCCACTCACACTGGCCAGAGCCTTCCCTTCATTAGGAGTTTCTTTCTGATCCTAACTGGAGAGGGATAAACACCAAAGATCCTGCGGGGCCGCTGCATTTCCATGGCTGCTCTCGGAACTCTGGAACCAGGGTAACCGTGGGCTGCTCCTCCCCGGAGGGAGGCCTGCGCTGCAGGCAGCCGGGGCAGGATTGGGAGGCTCAGGGGCTGCAGCCCACAGGAGGTCGAGGGGAGAGGTTTTTCTCGCAACGCCCTCCTCACCTCCCCTTGTGTACAGAACTTTGAACACACGGACACTCACTGCCACGTGAGAGCTTTGGCAATTACGGATGTGACTTGGTTCCGTCCCAACAACGACAGCCCATTCCTGCGGCAAACATTTGCTCCAGCAGCGAGTGCTCCAAAGAAAACACAAGGTCCGCAGCAGAGCGTCCGTCTGCTTTCTAAGCCACAGGGACTTAACCATTTTGGTTCTCTAAATATAAACTTGCATGTTACATAAACCTCCTTTTCCTTTTTTGCTCCTCCTTTTCCTCCTTTTCTCCTCCTTTTCCTCCTTTTCTCCACTAAGAGAAATCTCCTGGAGTATTTTAACAATGACTTGTATAGTTAGCCCCTGAGAAAAGAATGGCTATCACAGACTCACCATGCACCAACTATATTCACCCTCCCACCTCCAATGGGAGTGCGGAGGGGACGCAGCGGCCCCGAGGAACATCCTCAATGCCTCCTCATCCTCCTCATCCTCCCTTTGTCAAAGGACAGCCTCACACCTGTTCTAGAACCGGACCCCTAATCATTGTGGTTTTTTTCCGTGTATCATAAATGGCCTATCATGGACTCAGTCATGATTGTGTCTCCCCAAATTTCGATGTTGAAGCCCTGCCCACAGTGGGATGGTGCGAGGAAGCGGGGCTTTGGGGAGGTGATTAGGGTTAGATGAGGTCGTGAGGATAGGGTCCCCATGATGGGATTAGCGCCCTTACAGGAAGCAGAGGAGACCCCAGGGCTCTTTTTCCACCACCTGAGGCCCCAGTCAGAAGGCAGCAACTGCAAGAAGCAGGAAGCAGATCCTCCCAGAAACCTGCCCTGCAGGCACCGTGCTCCTGGGCATGCAGCCTCCAGAACGCGGAGGGGCAGCCTCTCTGGCTTGTAAGCCTGCCCGTCTGTGGCGTGTAAAACTGCAAACATCTTCCAATACTCACCAGCAGGCAAAGAACCAAAACAGCCTTTCCACGGACCCCAGTGTGGCCCCAGGCTACCCATGAAGCAAGCCGGTTGGGCCCCTCCTCATTTCTTTTCTCCACACCCTGCTGTAGGATGATCCTCCCAAAACTCAATGGGTAACGGCCTTCCTCCCTGCCCAGAAACTTCGGTGATACCCACCAGCAACGGGGCATTCACAAACAGACTCTCCCCAACAGCCCTCCCAGCCGCAGGGAGGCCTCCTGTTCTGTGTTCTTCAGCCTCAGGTCCCGGCTTCCCCAGGGCCTTGTTGCACCAACCATGAGAAATCATCTCCCACCCGCTTTGACCTACAGAGATGGCACCGCCACGCAGCTCCTCCCAGCACGCGGCTCCTTCGGGGGCCTCTGTGTCCTGCACCAGGAAGCACTAAGGTTGGCTGACCGCGCTCCGCACCCCCATGCCCATCCCTGGGCCCCGTCCCACCCGCTTACCTGGCAGCATGTTGTGAACAGGGGTGGCGATGTTGATGTCCTGCAGGTGCTTGAGAGTTTCCGTGTGAAAAAGGCGGAGTGTGGACCCCGAGGTGAAGGCAATCCAGATCCCGACGCCGGCCACAGCCATGTGGGAGATCACCATGCCTTCCTCCTGGTGGGCCTCCAGCTGACCCTGTGAAATCGAGAGAAGGTCAAGTCTGCTGGCCCCATGGAGCGAGTCTGACTAGGGCCTGTTGGGTCCATGTGGTGTCCAGCTGGAGCGCCATTCAGTGGCTGCAACACAGCAGCAGGCTTTGCTCCAAATCATAGGCCTCCCCAGCAACCGAACACCAGCAACCCAACTGCCTGCCATTTTAATCATCCTGGCTCCTTCATGAGCCCAGAAAATGGCCACTCCGAAGACACAGGCACGATGCCCCTGCCAAGGGGCCCAGGCCACTGAGCTTGTGTCCAAAAGGAGACACGGGCAGGCTGGCAAGAGGAGGCACAGGAGGACCCAAACCGTGGGGACTGATGGAGGAGGCTGATCCATTCCCCCAGGCCCATCAGAACCTGCCCAGAACCTTCCCTGAGGTCTCCAGGCTGTGGCGTGGGGCCCCACCGCCTGCCTGCAGCCCAACCCTGGTTCTGAGTCTGTGCCTCCTCTTAGCTCTGCTGTCCTGGACAGGCACCTTCTGCTTCTTCACGCAACCTGGTCCTTCTGGAGCGTCCAGGCTCAGCTGCAGCCCCACAGCTCCAAAAGTGCATCCCAGCAGCCTGCTCTGAGGGTTCCCACTGGTGCCTGGGCCTGGGCCCTCGTCACCCTGCAGCCAGCAGGGACTGCTCACACAGCGACCCCCCGACGTGGCCTCAGGGGCTGCCTGGCACTCAGGCTCTGTGGGATCAGTCCCAGGAGAACTGCCCCCGCCCTGCCCATCAGGATTGCAGGGGGCGGCAGGGGTGAGGGCTGGGACAAAGTTTAGAGACACTGTGTGCCCCAGGAACCAGCAGCCTCACAGCTCTTGAAATTAAAGAAACTCACGATCCTGCACAATTATCTAAAGCAAAGTGATGAAACTCATAAAAACCCACAGGAAATAACCAGACTGACATCTCCGCCCTATGAGTTGTCCCACAATCTGAGAATAAGGGAAAAGACGACAGCCCCCATGGTGGAGACTGCTGACTCCACGCACATGCCCCATGGCACCAAACCCCACCCTGCAGCACCAAGCCGCACCCAGAGCCCACTGGGCAGGAACTCAGGGATGCGACTTCAGTGGTTGGAAGATCCCATCTCCCGTGGTATTGCCTCTTGTTTCAGTTGAGATTCCATCAGGAGCGGAGGGTAGAGGAGGGCCCCAGCCTACACAGGAGCATTGCAGGGCCTGAGAGCAATGCCATCTGAGGAGGGGGCTGTGTCCTCAGGCTGGGCACACAGGGGTTGGGGTCCCCAGGGAGGCGATACGATGTGGGAGGCTGGGGTCCCCAGGGAGGTGACACGGTGCGGGAGCCTGGCCCACACGGCCCCAAGTCCCATCACTGTGGATCTAGAGCGGGCTCCACATGTGACTGTCCACCCTCGGAGCAAACTGGAACCCCCCCAGGTCCCCTGATATGAAGTGAGGGCCCTGCTTCTAAAGTGCCCATTCTAGAGTCAGTCGTATAAATGCCTCTCGCCATATGCCCGTAGTTTCCTCATAGAAAATTTCTTCGATAATCACAAGTTGAATTTAAATATTTGTCAATGGGAAGGAACTGGTGCTCACAATTGCGAAGGAGTCTGCGTCACTGACTTGTGACTTGGTTCCTATGCAGAGAACCCAGCTCCTACCCGTCAGCGGAACACGAATCTCGCACACAAAGATCCCAAGTGTTTTATGAACTGAAGCTTCACAGGCTCTTCACCGTCTAAACGATCTGGGCTGTGTGGCGTGGGAGAAAGAGCATCTGCCTGGGGGTTGGGAAGTCTGGGTTCTCATTCCAGATGGTTCTAGCGCATATGCTTTTGATCCCTCCTCCCTCTGACTTGGCCTCCTGCGTCACCGAGGAGAAGGCGTGCAGGCCCACACTCCCCTGACACTCCACCTCCAATCCGGCCACCTCCTGGCACTGGCTCCTTCCTGCCCCACTCCTCGCCCTCCTCCTGGAATGGGGCCCTGCCTCTCCTGGCTTCTGTCATTCAGCCCCAAAGCATGTACAAGTCTCACTCATCTTAAATTAAAAAGAAAAAGAGGGAAAAAGGAAAGGAAGAAAAGCCGTGTGCCCCTTTCTGGCTGGGCTGTGCGGTTCCCCCTCCTCCTGCCTGTGCTAGGCAGGCCGCTCCCAGCAGCCATCGTTGGAGCCAGCTCCTCCACCTGCTTCAGGCTGACACCTGCTAACTTCCCAGCTACCTCCAAAACTGCCACCTCCTTTTGAAAATACTGAGCTATAATTCACGTATCATGAAGTTCACCCTTCTATAGGGTGCAATTCTGTTTTTTAGTATATTCGGAAAGTTGCCAACCTTCACCACTCTTGAATTCCAGAACATTTCATCACCCTCATGCCCCTCCCCAGCCCCGGACAACCACTCATCCATGTTCTGTCTCTGGATTGGCCTGTTCTGACATTTCATATAAACAAAATCCTACAACGTTCGGCCTTTTGTGTCTGGCTTCTTTCACTGAGTTTGGCGTTTTCCAGGTACATCCACGTGGTGGCGTGAGTCGGGGCTTCCCTCCTTTTCATGGCTGAATCCAGTCCCTGTGTATGAAGGAACCACATTCTGTTTGTCCATTCACGAGTTCCTGGGCGTCTGGGCTGCATCCGCTTTTTGACTATAAATAACACTGCTATGGTCATTCGTGTCTACATGAATATCAGGTTCTTCTGAATCTACAACTACGACTGGAAATGCTGGGTCACCTGGTCATGTCATGAGTTACTTTCTGAAGAAATCACAAACTGTCTTCCCCAGAAATTGTACCATTCTGCATTCCCACCAGCAAGTAAGAGTCTCCCAGCGTCCTCACGTGCTCTCCGGTGCGTGCTGGCTCCACTGACAACATTATTCCTGCCATCCCAGTGTGTGACAGACACAGTGCCTCATTGTGGTTTCGCTCCATGATTCCCTAACAAGCAACAATGCTGACCATCTTCTCGTGTGCTTATGGGTCGACTGTACATCTTCTTTGGAGAATTATCCATTCAGTTCCTTTGCCTTTCATAGGGTTAGTTTTCTTTTTATTAAGTTCTAAGAGTGTGCCAGATGCTCTGCATACCAGATCCTTCTCACATCAGCTGTACGTATTTTCTCCCACTCTGTGGGTTGTCTTTTCACTCCCTTGATAGTGTCCTTTGAAGCAAAAAGGTTTTAATTTTAATGAAGCCCAAGGTATCTTATTTTTCCACATTGGTTGCTTGTGCTTGAGGTGTCAGATCTAAGAAACCACTGTCTAGTCCAAAATCATGAGGATTTACTCCTATTTCTTTTAAGGTGTTTATAGTTTTAGCTCTTACATTTACGTTTTAATTCACTTGAGACAATTTTGTATGTGGTGTGAGGCAGGGGTCCAGCTTCATTCTTCTGCACATGGATACCCAGTTGTGCCAGCAGCACCTGTTGAAGAGGCCATTCAATATTCAAATGGAATAGTTTTGGCACCGTGTTGAAAATTATGTGACCACAGATGCATGTGGTCTCCGGTCTGTGTCACTGATGTATGTGTCTGTGTGGTAAAATCTGAAGTTAGGAAGTGTGAGCCTCCAATTTTGTTGTTTTTCTAGATTATTTTGGCTCTTCTGGATCCCCTGCACCTCCAGATGAATCTCAGGATGTGCTTGTCAAGTTTTGCTGAAAAAAATAAAAATAAAAAAGCAGTGGAAATTTTGATAAGAATTGTGTTGAATCTGCAGATCCATTTGGGGACTGTTTTCTTCTTAACAATAGTATGTCTTCCAATCTATGAACACAGGATGCCTTCCCACTTATTTAGGTATTCTTTAATGTCTTTGAATGATGTCTTGTAGTTTTTAGTGTATAAATCTTGCCTTTTTGGATTAAAAATTTCTCTAAGTATTTTTCTTTTTGACAGCATTATAAATGAAGTTGTTTTCTTTGTCTCATTTTCAGGTTGTTTGCTGCTAGTGTACAGAAATTTAATTGATTTTTGTATACCAATCTTGTGCCCTCTAACCTTGCTCAACCTGTTTATTAGTCGAGTAGTTTTGCTGTAGATTCCTCAGAATCTTCTACATACAAAAGGATATCATATGCAAATGCAACTTTACTTCTTCCTCTCATCTGAGTCCTCCAGCTTTTTTCCCTTGTCTAATTGCTCTGGCAGATCCTCCAGTACTACTGCAAATAGAAATGGTAGAAGCCATCCTTGTCTTGTTCTTGATCTTCAGGGGAAAACTTTTCTTCTTTAACCATAAAGTATGATGTTAGCTGTGAGTTTTTTGTAGATGCCCTTTGGCAGGTGGAGGAAAAGTCACTTTCTAGTCTTAGTTTGAGTGTTTTTATCATAAAAGGGTGATAAATTCTGTCAAGTACTTTTTGTGCATCAATTGAGATGATCGTGTGTTTTTCCCCCCATTATTCTGTTAATGTGATGCATTCCACTGATTGATTTTCACGTCCTGAACCACCTTTGCATTTTAGGAATCTATCTCATTTTTCCAGGGTACACAATCCTTTCAGTATGCTGTTGATCTCACTTTGCAAGTCTTCCGTGGAGGATTTTTGCATCCATGCTCACAGTGGATACTGGTCTGTGGTTTTCTTGTCGTGTCTTTGGTATCGGGGTCATGCTGACTGCAGAATGAGTAGGAAGTGTTGCTCCCTCCTCGTCAATATTTTTGGAGAGTTTGGGAAAGAGTGCTGTTAATTCTTTTTTAAGACGTTTGGTTAGAATTCACCAGTGAAGCCATCTGGTCCTGGGCTTTTTGTTGTTGTTCAGAAGTTTGTGATTACTGATTCAATTTCCTTACTAGTTTTAGGTCTATTCAAATGTTCTATTTCTTCATGATTCAGTTTTGGTAGTTTGTGCCACTCTAGAGTCTGTCCATCTCGTCTAGATTATCTAATTTATTGGCCACCTGCTGCCTGTTTCACGCACAAGTCTCCATCATAACTGGTTTCTCGAGCCAGTTCAGAATAAAGCAGAAATTACTCCCTGGAAAACTGTTTGGGGCAGAGGAAGGCGACTT